GACGCCACACTTGACAGTGCGAGGGCTAGAGGAGAAGCCGATGGTTGTCATGAAGGGCAGACAGTGGGAAAGATAGGATTGGAACCAGGCAAGAACAGGACCATTCAGGTGGAGGTGAGAGGAGAAGCGGTGGAGAAGAATAGAGTGGTCAACAGTGTCGAAAGCGGTCAAGAGGGATGAAGAGACAGAGAAAACCGGGGTCACAGGTGGACAGAATGTCATTTGCCACTTTGACCAGGGCTGTCTCCGTGCTGTGAGCAACACAAAACCCAGATTGGAGGGGTTCATGGAGGGAATGCTGGAAGAGGAAAGAGAGAAGTTTGGAAGCAATGACTCATTCTATGACTTTTGATAGAAAAGGAAGGTTTGAAATTGGGCAGTAGTTGGAGAGATTAAAGTGGATTTAGCAGGAAATTGATCGAGGCTCAGGTGGATGTATGACTTGGGCGATTATATGGTCTAAACAGATAAGACTTATGGGAGTTTTACTCTACTCTCACCGAAGTTGTACATGCTGGGTTAGACTTTAAATAAGTAATTTATTACTTATTTATTAATTTATTACTGCAAAATACAGTCAATTCACTTTACAGTACTGTGAAGCGCTTTGAGACGTCTCAAAGATGTGATCAGGCACTATATCAAATGCAAGGATTATTATTATTATTCGGTTATTCCTGAATTGTGTATAAATATTTTCACTGTCATGGAGTGTGGCATGTTTCTGGATTCCTGGTGAGTGTATTTGTTCTGATCAATGTATTCATGTAATGTGCTCATGCCTCAAATGAACAATGCATTCATCCATTATAAGAAAGTCTACGTAGAAGGAGGCAAAAAATACATATATTGGTAGAGAGATATATGTTTACTTCATTGGATATCTAACTCTTCAAAGATGAGACAGAATGAGTGAAAAAGATACCGCAGACACTGGTCCTGACAACTTACAGTACATTAACTCGTATCATGGGTATTAACAAGGATCATCATTGTGCTCAAGTGTAAACTGTTTCAATGTTCACATAAACTGAACTCAAGAATAATCTCTGAGTAAAATCAGCATGAAGGTGCTCATTAATCAGATGTTAATAGGCACTTGTAAATTAGATGAAGCGTAACATGAAACATTATTTTTCACATATTTCCTAGTATATTAACACCAATTAACGAGCACAGTTAAGCTAATTGCTATAATTATATGATGCCATTGAACTGTTCAACATCCAGTTTGCAGTTGAGATTCGGATTTACCATTGAGGTTCTTAACAGATCCATGCTATTTAAAACCTGAGATGATTACCCATTTCCCTTCTCCATCGCTTGCCAACCAGCCCCCATCTTTGTAAAGCACTCCGAGACGCTATCCTGCGTGAAAGGCGCTATATAAATGCAACTTGTTATTGCTGTTGATATCTTCTGTACTTACACAGAAATCAATCTGCTAATCAGGTGAAATGATCTGCCCTGGCAGGAAGAACAGGGATGTGGTGTGCAGAAGTCATGGGCACAGCAATTGAACCAATCTCACCTGAGCCAATCCACAAGCAAACCCACTTCATCAGAACATTCATAGCATCATACAATCAGAGCTGTCAAATCCTGAAGAGTTAAAAATATCCATAAAGCAGATTAGGAATTAAAGAGGTAAACTTTTTAAAATAGTACCTTTAATTTCAATATTAGCTTCATGTGTTTGCCTTGTATTGAAAACCAAAAGGCAGCAAATTTCCAGCAGTGCAGGTCAGTTGGGAGAGATTGTGCTGTGATGTTTCACTTCAGAGCTGACTTTCACTCATCTCCATCAAACGCACGTGATGCTCAACATAAAGATTCCAGCTCATCGTTCTTTTCTAGTTTTAAGACGGATCAGTTATAAATCTCACTTTTACTCCATCCTTGGGATGGCCTTCCGACGTGAAAGGTGCTATAGAAATGTAATTTTGTATTGTATCAACTGTGATCTTGCACAAGGTTAAGTTTCTCATATATAAGGCAGCAATGGTTTCTTTCATCCAAACATTTACTTGAATGAAGTGGATTTCACATTGAGTTGACAGTGGAATCGCACTCAAGCTCTTTTAAGATTTCCATTGGCAAGGCATGAGGAAAAAGTAAACTTTCACCAGTTTATGTTACTAAATCGCTCACAAAACCTCTGCCTTGTGTTTTATTTTACAAATGAAACTGTCCACAAATTTGTGCATAGGCAATGGCAGAGTGGGATGTTTCACAGGTTTGCTGCACTGATGGAATCCATGAAGCACATACTGAAATTATATAATTTCAGTGATATAAAATTGCAATAAAATAATAACACACATGGAGTATATTTAATCATATGCATGCATTGAATATACAATTAAAAGTTACAGAAATGAGCTTTTAATAATGAAGTGAACTATCTTTCAACACTGAGGACATTACTTAGCAGATCGATTAGGATACAACACATTAGAATAGCATGAGAGAAATCATTCCATTTGTTTTCCAAACAGTCACTGATGACAAACAACTTTTACAGAGCTTTCTCTTCTTGTGTGTATGTGTGTGTGTGTGAGTGAATGTCTACCTGCCTGTTTGTCTGCCTACCTGTATGTTTTTTGTTGCTTGGAAAAATGTTAGCGTGTAAAAGTGTAAAAGAACCTTTTACTCAAAAGAGAGCACTGATTCACGGTTATGGAAGGAAATGATGACCCTTTTGTGTTGCAATTACTCTACCTGACAGTAAAATGACCTCCCTGTTAGATATAAACCATCCATTCACAAAGCTTTAGTTACTGAATGCAATTGCGAAGCTTACAATGATATCTTATTATACGGTGTCTTTCAGATGTCAGCCTTCTTAAAATACGCATCTTACTCCAACCACAGTACAATTTTTGTACAAGTGGCATCTATCACTCAGCTCTCCCTTCTACACTCTATTCTCATTTTCTTTATTTTCCTTCAAGTTGTCGACAATTTCCATGACAGAGCCAGTTTAATCTCAGTATCAGTGGAGAGGCAAGCCATCTTAAAAGCCAAATGTTCCCAAGCACTAACCGACAGAAGAAGAATAAATGTTTCAGTCAAACTATTTGAGCTCATGCTTATTGGTCAGCTGATCTTCATGAATAACAGAAAGGATTTCTCTATGCATTTTTTTGGAACCAGTTAAACTGTACTGAATAAACAGTTTGACTTAATGTTGTAACAAGAGCATTTTACAACAATGGTTTAAATCTGAATCTCCGGCAGAGCAATGTTGTTTTTTTTCAAAAAATATAAAGTTTTCCGTCGTGAAGAGGCTTGTGGATTGATTTAGTTACTTAATTGAGATAGTCCCTGTTTTGCCATGTTTTCCTTCGAAGATTTTATTTCTTTTCCCTTGTTTTTCTTCAAAAAAAACAATTGATTAGAGTTACAAGATTAAAGCATGTACTAAAACTGTCCTCCGGTTAGATCACTGGGATTGCACCAAGCTACAGGCACTGAGTTACTGTGACATCCTTAAAGAAACAAGCACTTTACCATCAGAAATTAATCTACCATTGATAAGGTCACCTCCAACCAACCTCATCCTTCACATGGCTTACATCTCTCGGATATTTTGCTGAATCTTACTGATCACAACACAACCTAAAGATACTGATTCTCTGATTTTACCTCTTCCTCCCCTTGGGCTTTGAGCATTAAACATAAACATGCTCGCTACTGCACTGTAATGCCAGTTCCCTCCAGCAGGTTGTAAGTGCTCAAACATGTGAAAAAGAGCAGATGGTGGGGGGAAAAAAAGGCACGGGATCACACTGGGTGTACACTTTGAAAAGGTCAGGCCTTCGTGTTTTTATGCCTGTCCTGCTGATAACTTACGAAAAGCACAGACAGATGTGGTAACTACCAGATCTGTCTGCAATACTGAGCTGGTTTGGTGGAGTTGTTTGAACTCTGAATGTGGTTCGTCAGCATGTATGTGTGTTAATGTTGACAGGTCAAAACCAATGTGGGTTATTGTGCACTTGTTACACTATTTTGTAACGTGGTGACCACGAAAGGCACAGTTTTACCTTTGTTTCATTCACAATAACTGGTAACTAATACAACAGGTGTCGTGCAAAGGGTGCGGGTGCTATCAGGACAGCACTACTTTGAAGGGCAACCCCTGCAGGTGAAAACAACAGAAACGTAATCAACACATTAGCATGTAAAAGACTGGGAATAAAGTACATGGTAGCACAATTTCTTTCTGGAACCAGTTGAAAGGCTGCATTCTGAAGCAGTTCCACTTTAACCATGTGTATAGTACAGGGAAGTGATCCAGATAGACCAGCAATGCTGTAATACTGTAGCAAGAATGATTTTACCTCTCATTGATCAGTGTAAAAAGCCAAAAAAAATAGCTTCCACCAGCCTCTGCAGCAATCGGATACAAGAGTATGGGGGAATGTACTGGTATCCTGATCATTTTAGCACAATTGGTTATTCAGTACATTCATGTTGTTTCTATAAATCACTGCAAACTATCCAAAGATTCACCACAGGTTAAGAGCACATAGACACATGTATGGTGTTATTGTGTATACTTCAATACTGTTATATAATGAGATACGCTTATACGTACATCAGTAACTATTGGTAAATATAGGAACCTTTTGGTGATGTTATAATCCAATTGTCACAGCTTTGGCTGTAGCAGTTGCATTTGGTTCCTGCTTTAAAGAGGAAACCTGTTCCATTATAGTGAAAAGGCTGAATAAATGTTCCCCTTTTTGGGTTTGTTTCGCTGGGTTTGTTTTCCTTCAGAAATATTCTCCAAATTCTTTTTGCATTTGATGCCTCAATGCTAAGATGCCCGATAAGAATTTTCAAAGGAATGATTTGTCCAATAACTTCTTTCAAGCTGCAGGACAATTTTTCGCTGGGTATAACAGGAGTCAGTACACGGGGATATAGGAGTGAGGGGCGGGGGGGGAACAAAATAGGACAATAATCACACATTAAAGACGAATACAAAATGTAAGGTACGCACACTTTACCAGAAATGGTGCCTGTTTATTTTTGGGGGCTATGCAAAAAACAAACCTTTTAAATGGTGTTAGTTTGGTGCTCTGAGTTTTAAAGAAGAGAAAGATAGTATTTATTTTAACTAACAGGAGTGAGGCTATATTCAGATATCAATTCAGTTAGTAGACTGATGAACTCCCAATGTTTTGCACAGCCCGGCCAAGATGTTACTTTATCATTTCTTGATAAAGTTCGGATTTCAGGAAGCGGGGGAGGGAATCCTTCTCCATCAGAGTGAGCACTTTCTTCTGGGCAATCTCGAAAGTGGATGGAGAGGGTTCAACCAGGTTCTTCACGATGATGTCTTTGGTGAAGTGGTCGAGGTTGACCTGCAAAAGAAGGGGTGGAAGATGAAATTAAGTGCATACTTCAGGCAGATTGCAAAAAGGGACCGGTCCAGCAAAAAGCCTTGTCCTGGCCTGCAAGCCAGAAATTGCTGCTGTTTTATTTAAAAAGAAGATAAATGAGGAATATAGTAAATAATAATAATCCTTGCATTTGATATAGCGCTTTTCACGTCTTCTCGACATCTCAAAGCACTTCACAGAATAGACTGTAAAGTGAATTGACTGTATATTTGTGGGCGAAATGCCGCAGCCAATTATATACAGCAGTGTCCCACAAACAGTCGTGGATTGAAAATGACCAATTTATTATTGTTTTGTTTTGGAGGCATTATTATTAGGCGTGTGGAGTAAGGAAACTTGCCCAAGGTTTTGCCCTGCCGGGAATTGAACCCAGGTGTCTCGCTTGCAAGGCGAGTGCTCTAACCACTGAGCTACAGGACTCCAATATTTAGTTATCCAAGACAATAGAGAATGTGATAGCAACACTGCTCAAGCATTTTAGAGGTCCTATCTTCTACACAATTTAGATTTCACCTGCTGATGTTCCATTTATTTTGACTTAATAAAATGTTTGTGTGAACTCGAAATCAGGCTTCACCAGCACTGATTCGATTCTGAGCTCTGCTCCTGAATCTACCTCCAGGTGATGCTTTCGTAATGGAATCAATGCAACAGCTACAGAAAAAAATCTCATTACACAGCAGCCAATTCCAATGAACTTTTAAACTTAAAATTAACCACCCATCCTCAGGCTTTTTAGTGCACATGACAATGGAAGCACATTTAACCCTTCATGTTATTTCAGATAACTGATTCTTTAATAGCATTGCAAACTGGTGTGTGATAGTTAGATCACTGAACTCGATCTGTTCCTCTTTGCTCTGATGCCCTGGCATCTCTGAAACTATAATTTGGGGTTAACTTTCTCAATTCCATTTAAATTGTAACACACCTCTTTGAGGTCCCCTCTGATATGTGTCTTTTCGAGGCTGAGGATCTCTAACTATCTAATTGTTGTTCATAGTCAATAACTCATTCCTGTAACATTGAGAAACAACCTCACTGCTCTTCTCTGTACTACCTCTAGGGCCTGGATGGCTCCCTTATGTCGCCCTGATGGGACCTGCATACTGTACTCTAGGTGCAGCCTGAACATCTTAAGTATTGGGATCTGAACTCATCTGATTTGGCAATAAAGTCCAGCATCCTGATTGCTACCTCACACTGTTTTGACATATTGAGTGATAAGTCAACAAATGACCCTAGAACTCTTTCAATGCCCCCCCTCCCCTCCCTTTGGCAAGTTCTTTCCCATCTATCGATGTTACTCTACATGAAGAGCACTATAAAAACGCAAGTTGCTGCTCCTATATCAGTAACTGATATCTGTTTCAAATTTAAAGATGCCATTGCATTGGACTTTTTAGCCAACTTGACTTACGCTCGGCAAGCAAAGTGGAATTCAGGCAGAAAATTATTTTAATAATATCCCTATTATTTCTGATACTTTGCTAGTTCGGTTACACAGTTTTTTTGGTTTCTCTTTCAAACACAGAGCCAACTGGGAGCATAATCTTCTGGTAATGTCATTAAAGTGCCTGACCTCTTTGGGGGCTTCTTTCTCAATGTATTCTTCATAGATCTTCTTTGCCTTAGAGGTCAACTTCATAGGGGACTTGATCATCTTGTAGTCCTCGCAGGCCAGATAGAACTCAATGTTCTCCTCGCTGTACTCCGACTGCAGGAATGCTCTGAAGGCAAGCAGGCCATCTGGAAGGAAACAAATGGAAAAATCTCGTAAGTTTATATCATGTTTCACAACAATGTCAGATGGAATGGATTAAGATAGCACATTTCATTACTTAATCAATTTAATTTTGCTTCAGCGTAAATCTGGCAATGGTGCTCAACATTCCTGACCATGCACATTTGATACCATATAAGAGAAAGTTTGATAGCTATTTTGATATGCACTATTAAGATAACAATTAGCCAGATGTCGACAGAAGGCAGAAAAGCTTGCAAAACCACCAGTCAAATGTCTCCTGAACTAAACAGTGTTTGGGTTCAAATCTGTGGTAAATACAGGCTGAGACTCAAGCCAGATTTCAAAGTACTTCCAGAAGTGCCAACCTCAGTCTAAAAGGAACAGCATCTGAAACGATTACCAAATTACGTTCTGCTCTCTGAAGTATGCATCCAGGCAGCATGATGAATTGTTGTCACAAGAGTCTTTTCATGAAAGCAGGCTTTGTGAACGATAGGTTTCCATGGTCCTCTACCATAGATTTAGTTTCCAAAGAATGCCTTTAGAAAGGATGTAAACAGGAACCAGACAAATGCTCCCTTTATCACTGTGACTGCTTCCCGTTGGCATTTTGTTCAGCATGTTTTTGATGTAGTAAATTTTGCAATGTGGAAATTGCAATTTACACTTGGAATCCAGTTTCCGAGTATCAGAATTGCTATTACAAGAAGTGAAATGATTTTTATCAGCTTTCCAAACAAACAGTTTTAACTGGGTTTTAATGTGGCAATGTTACTTAATGAGTGCTCTGCTCAGATCTTGTGTTGGTTTAGTCTCAGTCATGTGGTGGTTCATGCTGCTAGTTTATTGCACATGTGAACACATGGCGTTAAACATATTTGCACTTATTACTTTATGAAAACTAATTGACCACCAGGATGCTCTACCATGGGCTGTTCTGTTGTGGCTCTTTTTTTTAAAGCACATTTGCAGTCATCAAGAATCTGGTGAGAAGTACATTCAATACTATAGAAATGTGATTCAGGTAAAACGAGGTTCAGTGCTTGGAAACACTGGTTTCATTTCAGCTCGAGATATATAGTATCTACCTCTGAGCATGTTTGATTTGCAAATTCGCTACCACTGTTACTTTCCCAAATCACACCCATCTCTGATATTATACTGCACTTTCAGAGCAACAATGTGTCTCTAGGTCGTACTTTTACCCTCATATAATTAAGTACCTCAAGCTCCCAGTCAGTTTGTGAAGCACTTTGAGATGCCCTTCCGATGTGAAAGGCACTATATAAATGTAAATTGTTGTTGTTGGACCAAGATCAAGGTTTGATAATGATTTGCACATTATGCTGACTAGGTAGGGACAGTAGGTGAGAGCAATGTAGAAATGAGTCATCAGGTAAATGTTGGAAAATGAAAGACTGATTTGACATGTATAAGAAGTGAAAAAATAACAGCTAAACTGGTACCTGCTGAGTCTTGTAGTTCTTATAGACTATTTGCTTGGCACTGAAGTGTTCCTGATTGTTTCTGTCAGTAACACTACACATCCTATATGCAAACAATCTGTAAAGTGTACACTTTCAGAAACTGTTTTAATAAACACTTATTGTGTTTGTAAAAGGCATTGTGATAAACATTTTATTTTTGCAAAGCTATCTGGAATGAATGATAGGATTGATTTACAATTGCGTGTTCCTTTGCCTGCTCAATTTCTGATCTTCTGGCCGACATTTACAGAAAGGTATATCTATGCTATTAACTAGTACTCTGTGCTTTATCCTTTGCGGGATATGAATCAATGACATTCAGTTTATCACAAATCAAATCTGCTCACGTTGGATACTAACAATCCTATAGTAATTGCTGAAGTTTCCTCATTTTTCAGGTGAGTTTGGAAAATGTCATAATGCCTAAGGCTCGAGAAGCACTAGGCATCAAAGGTCCCCTTCATGAAGACCTCCACAGTCCTTCAAACATATATGACCTGCCTACAGGAGAGGAACTAGAGAATTATGATACCCCAACACATCTACTGCAAGGAATCAATTCCAACATAATGTTATACCAGGACAAGAACACGTAAACGTTTTGAAAAATAAATTAACCTTATAAATTCTATAAGCACTGGAATGTTGCAACAGCTTCATACATTGAGAATCTTTGTACATGTTTGGTTAATTTATTACTTGCACATTTATGGTTTGAATATGCTGGATTCAATTTGTCACCAATGCAGTTTCTTCCGATACCTGCCATTGCCCTTGTGGCCTTTATCTTTTGCCATGCTGGCACAGGCATTGTGCTTGTTTTGCTGCAAATGTTCCAATACTTGATTAGTTCACTGGGCTGGAACTGATGGGAGGTAATTAAGTGGCTATATTTACAGCTGGAGTAAGAAACTTGCTAGTGATTTAAGAGGAACTCATTGGGTGGTGGCACAGGGTCAATTCTCAGTTTGGCAAGACAGACTCCCACATAGACATCTTCTAAATGCAAGCGTCTGATGCTCACAGAGATGTGGAAAATCTTTTCAGCTAAGTCAGTAGAGAAAACGTAACCAGTTGCTGAACAGAAGACTGGATAGCGTTCATTGGGATAGAGCTCCAGAGGCATGTACCATTTGCTGTCCTTGTTGAGATTCAGGGAATATCCACGCATCAGATAGCCAGTGAAATAGCTGTGATGTGGAGGCTGTTTGGGTTTTAGTAGTTTGCTTATTAAATATTCAGTGTTCACAAACATGTCACTATCAGTCTTCATGACATATGAGGCGTGAGGGCAGTACGTTGCAACCCAGTTCATGCCCATCAGTGTTTTAATTGTTAGATTATAATACATATCCAGAAAGTCCTGTTGAATAATGTCATGTTTTCATCTAATAAGGCTTGTTGGGCATTGCCATCATCCTTTCTAAAACCTAGAAGAAAGAGATGCAGAATGCGGGAGCATTGCTTTCATTTCCCCAGGTTTGTCTAATGGCACATCGTGCTTCGGAAGATGTTGTCTTGATTCTTTTTCGATTAGTTATATTTCCGCATGTAAATGGGGGGTTTTATGCTTTTTATATTTTTGTACTTTACCGAATAAATGAAACCGAGAATAAAGGAACTGCTTAATATACCAGTGTGTGGATTGAGAATCATTACAGTGTATTGCCGACTTTTTCAGTTTTACCACCTCATCCAAGTAAGATAATTCATCCATTTTTTGGGTACAAATGTTGGATGAGTCACATGTTCCATTCTAGCAGCATATTCAGGCAAGTGTCCTTTGCTTGGCACTTAATAGCACTCTGAGATGCTAACCTGCATGAAGGGTGCTATATAAATGCAAGTTGTTGTTGACAGTATAGATTTCGTCAAGAGACGAACTGCTACTCCTATGTACTATTACTGCAAGCGAAGTACTTGTACCTCCATACAGCCATTTAACTCAACTAATCATATACTCGTGTGAAGGTTGTGGATTTAATGAAATTACTGTGTAGTTTTGATGTGGTCACTGTACTGACGATGGCAACATTTTCAGGATTAGATATTGATACTAGGATGAGCAATGACCACCAGGATTACCAATGAAAATATGAGGCGTTAACCTTTTGGCTATCCGAATTAAAAACCATCAAGCGCGCTGAACGATGTGAGATGAGTGTAAAAGTATCAGAATTTAAGGCTTGCATTTGCTGGGAGTTGAGTTGAGATTGCAAAAACTTACAGATGAAAACACATGTTGGCTCATCCCATCCATCCGAAGGGTTGAAAGGACCTTTTGATACTCAGACCATAACTTGGTCTAATTTAAGTGGAAAATATTTTTGTCCTACTGGTTTACTGTCAATTCTGTTTTCCTCTCACATTATTTCAAACTCAGGAGCCCAGGATAGCTCCAGCGATCTGGTTTTTCACTCAATGATGCCATTGTACATAATTGACCAGAGTTAACTGAGCCCTTATGAAATACAACAAGCAGGATTTAAATTCAATATGAAAATACTTACAATTGTTCAGCAACAGTTTTTCCAGCGAATCACGCCACTGCAGCACCTCTAGCTGGGAAGGTCTGCAAAAGAAACAACTACACTCAGCTGATGTATATGTGGTAGGAATGTATATTTCTATCTACAATACACAGCTTCAAATATAGTTTGAGATGAACCACAATGACAAAAAAATGTATTGCTGCCAACAAGGCATTGACATTTTTCTGTGTTATATAGACTGTAGTTCACATTTTCTGGTTCAGGAAATCCGTGAGATGCTGCAGACACTGGCTTTAATTATCTGGCTTTAGATGTTATGTTTTCCACTTGATATTTCCAAACTCAAGTGGTAAACTTGGTTTAGCGTGGGCAGCCATACTACATGTTGGCTGAGTTGAAACACAGTTTTGTGCAATGTCTGTTGTGTAGTCACGGCAGTTCCATATGAACCGACCCAATTAAATCTTCTCAGGACAGTGGAAAATAACAATCTTACAATTCCCGAAATACATCACACTGGGCTTCTGGTCCATTGCGTTGTTTAACTGATTTACAAGGATGTCACTGTCCAAAAAATAATATCTGGCTTGAAAATGAGACATTTCTGTTGATAGGAAGCTTTTCACAGGGCATTTTGTTTTTCTCACAAACGCTATTTTCAAATAGTTTGAAAAGTATTATCGCAGTCGGAAAACTTCTAAACTGTTTCCTCTTCTCCTGACAAAAGGTCTTGGCTCAGGTTTATCTCCATCAGATAAAAATAACTCATGTAAACACCTTCGGACGATCCGATCCTTTATTTGTCTGTTCAATCCAAAATTAACATTGGATAAATCATGAGAGAAAGCCAAGCTTCACACAGAACATGATTTGTTTTCTGTAGCAGATTTCATGCAACTGAAGTTAATAGGTGGCTTAAAGTATACACTTGTTTGACTTTATCATATTGCGTTTGTCATTTCTGGATAAGGCATTGCAAACCATTCATAATGACATGAAACACATGCCCTGCATCCGGAGGTGATAGAGACAAAGCCTCAGTACACAGTCGCCAGCAGCAGCCCAGTCTTGATTTTGCTCGTGACTTCTATTCGATTCTATTTATACTCTTTGCTGGTTGTTTTCAAGAGAGGGGTGTGTATCAAGTTATCAAAATGAGATTGAAAAAAAGTAAACCCAGAACAGTATTTTAGGATGCACCAAGACAGTAGAACAAGAGGACATAGGTTTAGGGTTGCAAAAAGCAATTTCAGGTCAGACATCTGGAAGTTTTACTTTACTCAGAAGGTAATTAATGACTAGAGCAGGTAGCCAGGAAGGGTGGTTAAAGCTAGGATTTGTTTTCTCTCAGGGGGGTGAGGTTTGGCCCCATTCATCCCCTTTAAGCCAAATTAGTCTGAAATGTGTCCCTGCAGACAACCCTCCCGTGCCCCACCTCTCTAGGCCCCAAATTGTCAAAGGAGGATGCAGACCTGAAACCTGCCTTCACGACCACCCGAACAAGTCAGGTAACCAAATCACCTCTCCGTCGGGCCAGACCAACCTGAGCCAAGTGACCAAGTGCTCAAGATAGCTCCGCGTTACAGCATCTCCTCTTCATGTTTGTGAGGATGGCTCAAACTCCTCAGATCAGAAGTGCTGCAACACAATCCCATCTAACAGAGGACTGAAGACATATCTGTTGCCAAAAGCTCCAATCCTCCCATAATGCATAATGTGGAGATTCAGTCCTGACACTGTATATACCAGGAAATCTCAAAAGGACATCGTTCTAGCAGGTGCATATCCCAAGGAGTAACTGATAGCACAGAATCTACACTTGTTCTTGGCCAAAAGGCTGAGAAAGAATCAAAACAGGACACTGGACTCATTTAAACAGTAGCTTGATGCTGAGATGGAAGAACGATAGGGTGAATGTTCTGGAGGGATAAGATCAGAATCTCTTTGATCGCTTGCACGTAACCAGCAGGTACATCAGATTATATAAACTATACGTGATGACACAGTGGGTCCATTTGTAGTGTTGTCTGCACCTAGTCGTTTTACATCAGCATGACCTCCAGATGCCACCAGCAAGAAACAGATTATTTTTATAAGCTTTGTGAGTTGTTGTTCCATTATTCTATCCACCGAACAGTCCATAAGAGTCATGCATCCCCAATTAGTGACACAGGAGATGTAATTCCACACTAATGTGTTTACACGCAATGCTTTAGGGGATGTTGCCAAATGAACTGGATTTTAGTCGCCTTGATGATTGAAACACAGGCTCGCCTTGAGGCTACATCACTCCCAGTGAGTAACAGGACTTAATTGAAGCTGTTTGCCTGGACCTCAACACTTTAATAATTTTATAAGCAAGTCCACACAGAATTGGGTACATTCACTCCCTTTGACATCCTAAAGTTTGATATGTTTTATCATTTTCAGGACAAAGAAGCTCACAGCAGAGGAAAGAGGAAAGTGTGAGGACAAGCCACCCTGAGTCATTTTATGCACTGACCCAATGGCTGGCTGAAGGTTGGTAATGGATTAACAGCCAGTTGGGTTCCCTGCACTGCTAGCTAAAGTACATTGCCATCATGAAAGGCTGCCATCTGGCAGCTCAGCAAATTGCTGCAAGGCACCCAGTAAGCCTGGGACTAAACCTTCTGAGCAGCGAGAGGATTGGCTCCTGTACATTTCTTTCATTCTAATTGTAGACGGAATTGCTTTCTTCTCAGTGTTGGGTATCAAGAAATGATTTTGAAGGTGTTTTTTCTGGAAATTCTTTTAAGAACTACACAATAACAGCTGGACTCAGCACTATACTAAAGTCTGCTGGATCTGAAATGCAACGTAAATAGAGTAAATCTGGACCCAGATACATTTTCTCCTACATTGTGTTGTGGAAGTGGAGGGGGTGCATACGGAGGGTTAGATCTGAGAAGAAATTAAATAAGTTTGTTGAAATAGCTGAGATAGTTACCAAGAGTAATAGCATCCAGAGAAATGTGCACAGATACGGCCCTGCTTGCAGTTCAATTTTCAGTCATTTTCACTAATTATTTTCTGGCAATGATCTAAGATGGGAGGTAAAGGAATGAGCTTCCATCTCCGGCCTCCATCTCTAATTGAAATTAGACGCATGAGTGCAAAGTGCCCTGACATATCCCCAGAACTGAAATCAAAGAACCTTGTTAACCATAAAACTTCAAGTGGACCACTCACACTCGAGCCATTAACCTATTTAACTAAATAGAGTAATTTGCTAAGTTTCGTTTGTGTAATATGTAATTGCGCAGGTCAGTATGGTCGAGCATGAGCACAGCATGGAACCTATCAGTAAAATGTGCCAGTACTTCACCATGGTATGAAACCCTGAAACTTGTTGATCTAAGAGCAGACACCTATCTACACAGAGGGAATTTTCCAATCCTTTAACTCCTTCGAGGCCAGGGATAGTTCAAAGAAATTCTGAAGAAAGGAACAGCAGGATATATTGAAAACAAACTGATTTCTCCTCCTCGAAATGTTGTACTTTAAGAATTGAAAGAATTTTGATTCAAGGTCCATTTTACACAAAGGGACATATTTTATTCACTTCATGTGTGAGAGACAAATGAGCTCAAAAGTTCACCAAACGATTGTCTGTGTAAATCCAAGGCCAGTTTCCCACATAGCTTCTGTGTTCACTTGCTTACTGTAAAAGGTGTAGCCTGGTGCATGCAGTGCTTGGAACCCTAAGTGGTTTGCAGATCAAAAAACACTTGTATCTGTTAGTGTTCTTAGCAATAAGTACTGATGGAGCAGTGAATCAAACTGCAATGGCTGAAGGGGTTATCAAGGCAGTTCTGCAATATTATATGAGGCAAGCAGACAGATGGCACAGTAAAAATGACATTAATATTCTCAGCAGAGATGTTATCTGACAGTGTCCTGATCTGGGTGGAGAAAAATGTTATAAGTGGTTGTCCCTGCTTGGTGCAGAATGTGTGTTTCTCTAGTTCGGTTTCATAGCACTCATATACAATTAATACAAGATGACACTGATAGATGTTTTCAGCAATAACAATTGCACTCTAAGATGTGACAGATACCAGAGTGCCTGCTGTTGACTCATTAGAAGAAATGTTCTCAATTACGACCCATTACCTCTGGGGCTTGCTGAACTTCTCCGGTTTCTCAGAGTAGGGGATGATGTAGTCATTGATGTTTTCTGGCTTCAGCAGCAGGATGCCCAATTTTGTCTTTATCCCTTTGGCTCTGGGAAGACAATGTGGAAAGGTTAGCAATGTCCATTTAATTGTATTTAATTGAAAGAGGAATAGGCTTTTTGTGACAATAGGCCCCAAAGTCTGGTGATTTGTCTTTTGGTGGGTTGCCTAAATAGTTGGCAGAAGAGATTGTGTATAAACATTGACTGGTTCAAATATTGCTCAGTCTTCTCTTATGACCGTAAGTCATATTTCACACTTTTTCAATAAATGGCATAACTAGCAATTTTTGATATTGGAATAGCACCTTTTACATCAGGATGATGTCTCAAAGTGCTTCACGTGATTTACTGTAAAGTGGAGTGACTGTGTATTTGTAGGTGAATGCAGCAGTCCAATTGCAAACAATAACAACAAATTGCATTTGTATAGCACCTGTCATATCAGGAAGACATCCCAAGCTGCTGGGCACACAGCAATGTCCCACAAACAGCCATGAAACAAATAGCCAATTGTATTTGGGGCATTGTTGGCCTGAACTCCAGGAGAAACTCGTCTCTTAATGAATACTGTCAAGCAGTGTGAAATATCCAACTGAATAGACAGATGGGACGTTGGTTATTATCTCATACACAGGATGGCAGCTCTTGACAATCCAGCATACCTCCAACATCATCTTTAGACTATGTGAGTTCCAGTCCTTGAGCCGCCAACCTCCTGACTCAGAGGTGAGAGTGCTATCAACTGAGCCAGGCTAACATTATTCTATTTAACATGTATTCTATTTAAACCACAAACTGTATTTAGACATGTTTACAAATATCTGTAGTTCTATTATCATGAGAATGGAGGAAATTTTAGTTACCCTGCGTGAAGAGCACTATATAAATGCAGTTGCCAAACCAGCTACGACATGGTAAAGAATATTGACATTAATTCTATACTTACATGCTAGCTGCTCAGACGAAAACACTCCGTGATAAAGTTGAAATTTTCACTGACAATTAGGCTGATGCTTTACATAAAAAGAAACTAATAATAAAGGCATGTATATTTGAGCGCTGTTTAATGGTTGACAGGGATGTGCAGGATTGGAGAGTCAATTTGTATAATCCCTAAGATTGAAGGGAGACTGAGACATCCTCTCAACATGAAAAACCTTATATCAAAGTCAGGATTATTATTATCAAGTGACTCCTGCTGGAAAGTAAATGAGGATAGCTGAATATGATTAGGCTCTGCTCTACCCATGTAATTTCAGTCTCATCTGCTGTATAATTCTATCACAGCAAAACTCAGAGAGTTCTGAGTGTTCACAGCTCCCTTTAAATGAGCTGCATATTCGCACAACTGAGCAGTGTGTAAAATGTGTCAGGGCCCATTTCTCTCCTTCTTCACACCACCCTCATTCCGTCCCACATTCCGCAAGTTAATGGGTAGATTTGGGATTAATTCCTTACCAGAGAGTCTCTGCATGTTACCACTCCAGAGTGGAAAACCTACTTATGGATACTTAATAATCCTGGCTAGTTGAAAGATAAACAAAAAGGTTTCACTGTACAGGAGAAATTGTAAACCCTGTGGGATATTTTACTACCTTTAACCAGATCTGCCCAGAATGCTGAAAGGACGTATTTTAGTTCATGTTTCCTGATTGTTAAGTATGATATACAGGCTCCACTTGCTAAATGCTTAGGGGATGAAGAGTATGATACAATACAAAATTACATTTGTATAGCGCCTTGCACGTCGGGAGACATCGCAAGGCACTGATGAAGATGAAGAATGGAATGAGAAAAATAGCAACATGTGCATGCAATTGGGTCATATTGACTATGTAACAAACTTGGCAAGACATTTTTTGTTGAGATAACAAATTCCATGGTCTGCTTGTATAATGTGACCATCTAAAAAGTTCTGTGCCTGGAGCTTAATATGGTGACACTGACTGTAACAGAAAGACTTTGTTAACTGAATATTAATGAACGAACCCAAAATTCTACTTAGTCTTAACCTTGAGGCTATTGTCTTGAAGTTTAATGCTGTGCAGAATTTTTGAAAATTCTTTATTTCAGCCTCAATTTGGAAACCAAAGTTATGAAATTCTTAAGACCAATGCAAAACGGGTTTCCAAATTAAAGCTGAATTTAAAAACTTTCTGAAATTCTGCAGGATCCTAATTTTTCAGGCAAAAGTCTTAAAGCTAAAACCATGTTAAATTTCAGCCCTCAGATCTTTAATAAATAGTTACTGGAAAGCAAACATTGACTGACAGATAGGAATTGTATATAATGCCAGGTAGTGTGTAATGGAGACAGACGGGAAGCGATTTCAGTTCATGGGAACTCTGTGTTTGGATCGAGCATCTGTTACCAAGAAAAAAAAATTAAATTCATAGTGTGTACCATTAACTTTGCCAACAGCTTATAGGGATGACGCAGGAACATGGCCTCGCTACATGCTGTACCATTTATTTGCTTTTGTCACATAGTGTTAATCTTGAGCATTTTGTTAATGAAAGCCAGAATCAGCTTTGTTTGTATTTTTCTTAAACATTCTCATACTCTCAAAACTATTATTTTCCTTCAACTATGTAACAAAAGTGATGGGAGTAACATGCATTACATGCACACTATGTAATGTAGTACACTAATGATGAGCATGTGCCTGAGCATGTCCTGTTATCTGAGAATGTAGGAAAACTGGAACAGGCAGGGATCATTCAGCCCAATAAGCCTGTTCCTCCTTGTTAGACCTTGGCAGATCTTGGTAGCTCTGCCTTTTTGCCATACCTTTTAATACCTCTACCTACCCATGCATCTGCCTATCTGTTACCTTTATCCAGTGCTTATATGGGGACTAATTTGCCATATTTACAGACTGGATTCTGTAAATTTAACTGGGAAACAGTTGCTTATTTTGCTCCACATCCTTTTTGGGGGGACTTTACTGACTGGGAATTTGCCAATTCATTGCTCGCAAATTTCACAAACTAGAAATTGTGAGGCAGTAGTAGCAGCAATTAACACAACAATCTACTTTGCGAATTATGTACATTCAACCCCCTCCCCTACCATATATATATATATATGTACTGAAGTTCTGGATGACTATTAATTGCTTCCATTCTCTCTTGTTCTCAAGAGGTATGGCAACCATGAGAAAATAAGCTATTTTCTATTCAATGAAGGAAATATCTTTTCAGGGTAAGAATAGTTACCAAATTCCCCAGTTACTAGATTCAGTTAACAATCAAATGTCAGCATGAAATGGAAATAACATTTCAAAATGACTTATTCCGAAAAATGTATTTAGTAGGTAGGTTTAGTAGGTTTAATAGATCGCAGCTGTCCAATGAATGTAAAACAAAGGAACAGTGTTTTTTTTTAGACAAATGCACATGGAAATCCATTTGTATAGACCCTATTGAAATCCATGGCACAGAACTTTTTTATTCTCAACTGTTTGTTTTACATCAACTTTTTTAACAGATCACTACACATGGGATAGTACAAAAGAAGAAATATTATATTTCCACAGACTTGGGAACATTTGGAATGATTTTGTATCTAGCACGGTAACCACCAATTCCCAAAATTCATTCCGATTGGAGAACAATAAATTCCTTTTTTCCCTCATCCACAGGAAACTGAAACGTTTTTTACTCCTAAAGGAAACATAAATTCTTCCTTATTTACTTACAATAAAACCCTCAAAACCTGATCCGAGTGAGACAAGATTGATTCTACCCTAATCAAACCTGACCAAACAAAGTTGGATTTATTTTCTCTGCTATCCCAGATTTATGATCTTACCCTACAACATTTCATTTGCTTGTCTGCTTGCCTGAAAGCTAACTAGGCTAAGTACTGAAATGTGGTATTACAAGTAGTGTATTCCCGTACTTTTAATTGATATAGTGGTAACTTAAAATGTAATTGGAGTTGACTACTCTTCTAGTTAATTCTGCATATTCCAAGATTATTCATTATAAGTAAGTAGATTGATTGAAAGGCAAGATTGGAAATTGTGTTCATCAATTCACCTATTTAAGCTTAATTCTTGATCAAGCATAGACTTGATATCAGTTGATGGTTGATCTTATCAGCAGCAAGTTTGGAACAATTTTTATCCCTTGTTGATTTCAACTGGAATGGAATACTGAATTTATGGTTTCTCCTTGGTTGGACATACTCTATTTCTTAAAAATAATTGTCAGTATTGTGAATCCTCTAATCTAATTCTAATGTTCACCATTCTTCCTCTAAAGAAGTAAACTTGTGTTATGTTCATGCCAACTTGTTTCACCTTTAACATTCTATCTGTCCTTCAGTTGCTGGTTTATCGTTTGGCCCGTTTTTTTCAGTCAGCTCTATTTTCTCTTTACCTTGTTCTTTCTCTACATCATTGACCTCCTAGACTCGATCCTTATGTTTGCTGATAACTCACCTCTATGTTCATCAAAGCCTTTCGGACTGCATGTCCTCTATGCACAGAGTGAGCCTTAATTCTTGGAGACTAATGGGTGAATTATTAAATCTCAAGCTCCTCTATACCATTCAATGTTGTTTCTTTCTAGTCCTCAGACACAACTTTTTATATCTCTCCCAAGTCTAACCAAACAGCTGTCACCTCTTACATTTGTGAGCTCCCGTCCTTCTCTTTCCTCTGCTACTCTTTGCAGTTTAGGTGGTGTATTGCACAATGGGTCTAGTTCCTTCACTCACGCTCTTATTAACCAAATATTGTAGGTAATCCTTACACGATTCTAATACTTAGCTCAGCTTCTCCAAATGTAAATACTCTCCCTACTCTGTGCCTAGCACCAGCTCTGTAAATCCCTTCAAGATGCTAAAGGTGTTATATGAATGCAAATTGCAGTTGTTAAATAATAATAATCCTTGATTTAATACAGCGCCTTCACGTCATGAGGACATCTCAAAGCACTTCATGGGATTCACTGTAAAGTGTAGCGACCTTGTATATGTGTGAACACAGTAGTCAATTTGTGCCCAGCAAAGTCTCACAAACAGCCATGAAGTAATTGAT